GGCTAATAAGCCAGAAATGGCCATTCCAGTCTCTCCTGTCTTCACCGGCAATGCTATCTGCCTGTATTACCAGCTATTACGGATGTCAGGGCCTCTGGCGAGACCCAAGGCTGAGCGAGACAGATGAATTCCGTTAGCGGTCTGGTGAGCGTTCACCAAAGAGGGGTTGATTGGTTGTACGAGGTGCTAATGAACACATAAATATATCTGAAATAACCACTGGTTCAGTTTTCGCAAACCTCTATAAAAATAGTGCCCAGAAGATGCCTGTTAAGTAGCTACTTACTCAATATTGACATGACTACAACAGATTCCATGACTTGAACAGGTTATCAAAAAACAAATTGCAGTAGTCGCCGGCTATTAAGCCCACCTCGGGCCCAGACCAAATTGGGCTTAATAAGCGACGAGCTTATTAACCGTAGGCTTAATGCAGCAGTCGCCGGTTATTAAGTCCACATGGGACCCAGACAAAATTGGGCTTAATAAGCGGCGGGCTTATTAACCGTGGGCTTAAGAGCCGGCGACTTCTGTATAAAGGATAAACGGCAGCAGCAGCAGAGTCCAACTAAACTCACCCAGTTGCGTGTTTCGTCAGGGAAGTCAGGCCGGAAGCCAAACCTCGTAGTAGACTTAGGTGCTCCTCACGATCAATGCTCAGGGCCGGTGGAAGCGTCGGTGTTGAGGTAGTGTCTGTAAAGTGCCAGCTGTTAAGGCTGTAAGGGCCCCTGTCAAGGTCCAAGGCAGAGCGAGACAGATGAGTTCCGTTAGTGGTCAGGTGAACGTTCCTCAAAGAGGAACACTTGTCTCTCGAGTGGGGACCACCGAGTTTATCAGTCAGTGGCGAAGACCGGTGGAAAATTGCCGTTAACCCCCACTTTTACTTAGCTCTCCCATTTCCGGATAGGAGATTAAAGTTAGTTGCTCTCCAACCTGGAATAAATCCGTTCCTTAAACATTTATCGAAGTAGAACTGACAGCCTCATGCAAACACTGCGTTCTCCTTGCTCTAATCAGCACGACCAGGGGAACAGGAGGCGCCCTATTCTCGTTCGCATTGCATAAGCAAATAGCCCATCGAAGGCAATAAAGTGTTTTTTATGGGCCTTAACACCTCGGAAAAAGGACTTCGTTTCTCCTTTGAAGTACTTTAAAAGAGCGTGTTATTGTTGCCAAGGCATGTAAGTTGCATCACAAAACCGTTGACATACTTCCAATCTGCTGTTTTGGTTTCAATGAATTTTCTACGCATGTGATCGACTAGTCTGCGAACGCAAGTACTCCATTCCGATTGGGTGGTTGAAAGTCAGTGTGCATGCAAACACACACACACACACACACACAAGCTGCCCACATCCGATTTATAGTTAGATGCTCCAATTAACATAGGTGATAGTTCTGGGATGGAAATCTGAGAACTTAATGTTGCTAACCGGGACAGTTTTTGTTTCGTGCTGACGTTTTGGAGAGCCTGACCGACTCGCCATTGTGAAAGTGTAGACTGTCCTTATCTATTAGCAATTTGAATGTCTGGATAAACTTGTCGGCCTTGGACTGATCGGTGTTTTGCTCTCCTTCGCTGTCACGACCGTTGCATGGATGTATGTGTAGTTTGACGATCGCTGGTGTTGCGCTTCGTCATCACGGTAGAGGGTCCTGCTGCCTTTTCCAATGGGTTCGTCGCGGGGCTATCCTCCCTCGCATTTCTTAACTTCCGTGTGCCCTGATTGATAGTCTATGCTCTGACAATTGACAGCCAACCAAGCTCTCTGAAGAGTCAACACGAACAAAAATAGTTTCAGTGAGCAACATTAAGTTCTCGTTGTTTGACATTCTACGTTCTCATAACCCATGCCTAATTGGCCTTCATTTTCAGACAACATTGATGTGGAGTTTGGCAATTTTTTTAAACTGTGGGCCAAGGCACCTTCTAAAAAGTTAATTGTTCTGCATTCAGATGCAAAGACCTCAAGTATGAGCAACAGCACGCCGCAGCCTCGATAATCATTTGCTTCCACAATGAGGCCTGGTCAGTGCTTCTACGGTCCGTGCACTCGATCCTCGATCGTTCCCCGGAACATCTGGTGAAGGAAATAATCCTTGTCGATGATGCCTCCACGATGGGTAAGAAAATCCTTCTATTCTTCCTTGTTGAAGTGAATTTGCATTTTGGTGAGGATTCCTTTCTAGGCTGACTAAAAATGCAAGGAGTATTTGCCTTAGGAATAAATTTTAAATACAAGTGCCTTCAATATCAATCTTAGCATGCTGGCCCAGAACATACGGACAGCGCTGTCACAAATGATAGCCCGAGGACGCTAAAGCCGGCAAGGTGTTCAGTAACGGCTCAAAGTCGGTAGGGAACTCAAAGACCTCCAAAACTTTCGGAATAACGTAAGAATCGTTCCTAGATTGGCGCTCTCCAGTCGCTGCCTTGGGGCCCACTCTAGAGTCACACCAGCTACCACATAGCAGCTAGTATGATAGACAGAAGAACATTTTTGACAGAGACCAGGGCGACTGGAATGGCCGCTTCTGGCTCATTAGCCGTGGGCAGCCAGCCATACTCAACCGCCTGAGGCTCGAGCCCACGACTTACTGGTCTCGTGGCTAAATGCTTAGAGCTTT